GATGAGTATTTGCCCTCCTCAAGAATCCAGCAGCAGCCCACAGTACAACAGGGATAGTAGGTCCCAATCTATGACCAGCTGTTGACAGGCCCATTGTAGGAAGCTACCGTAGCCATGAGATAATGGTTGCCCTGGATATGTCTTGCCCAGAAATAGACAACCCCTCATCATCAGTTTTTTCCCTTACGTTTTTTCATCACCCCTCTTTTAGTTCCTTCCTAGGCCTTTAAAAAGATGGTATGGATGCCCTATTTAGGAATGAACACTTGGCTGTCACGTATTCTCAGCATCTTGATCAGAGAAGTATCTTTGTGTTTGCTTCCCCTCATTTGTAAAGAAAAATTTCTCTGATTGAGACTGACAGTAGCATTTGTCTATAGGCATAAGCATAAGTATTTAGAAGGCAGCTAGCTTGATGCTTTATGTAGTACCCGAGATTGAACTCCAGACCTTGTGAGTGCCAGGCAAGCACCATCAACTGAGCTGTTCCTTCCCTGTGTTGAAGAGAAAGCTTCTATTTTCTGCTACTTCCTTCTTGCATAAAAGCTTTCTGTATGCCCTTAATGGTGTTCTCTCTCTCTCTCTCTCTCTCTCTCTCTCTCTCTCTCTCTCTCTCTCTCTCTCTCTCTCTCTCTCTCTCTCTCTCTCTCTACCTGAGGTCTCATACCTAAGTTACCACAATGATCTCCTTCAATCCCTAGCAGTTACTCAGTTTGAGGGATGTGTTGCTGATTTTTAGAATTTTTAGCTTTAGTTGTTTGTGTGTATCTCTGTGTGAGAATGTGAACGTGAGTACAGGTGCCTGTGGGGACCAGAAGAGGAGCTGGAGTTACAGGCAATTTTGGGTTGCCTAAAGTGGATCTCTAGAGCCCAACTCAGGTCCTGTGCAATAGCAGTTCCCACTCTGCAATGGTGAGCCATCTTTGCAGCCCCCTAAATCCTGTTCTAATAAGAACTAGGTATCACTAAGATAGTCTCACTGAGATTCTGGTTTCTCTTTCCTTATCCTAGACGCGTATGTTTTTATACTGGCATGCAAGAATCTCACCATCTGCCCATACTCTGTGTTTCTTATTTTATTCTCCAACTCTCCACTCAAAACATTGTGTGTGCTCTTTTGGTAAATGTCTGCAAAGATGTATTCCCCAGTAACTATGCTGGTATTTAGTTCCTTCTACTTCCTCATTTTCCTGGACTCGGTCTGTACCTTTCTGGTTTCCCACAAACTGGTGGCCATGTGACTGCAAGAATTTGGAGGTGAGACTATAAGAAGGCTTGCTGTAGCTTAAGCTTTGAAATCATTTGATTCTATTGTAGTCCAAATACAGACCAGTCTTTATAAGAGCCTGTGAGCATAAAATAAAAATATCCTAATCTTCTCATCTTTCCAAATGGAATTCCAGGACTCTGGTTTCCCTCACTATGAAAAGACAAATTTAGTTTGTCAACAACTGATTCAACTTTCATGTTTCCAGCATCCCATCGTGATCACCACAGTCATCATCTTCATCACAACCATCATCATCACTAATACAGATTACAGTCTCACTGCATTTCAGGCACTTGTTAAATGTCTGGGGGTACCCAAGAACCACGCCCTTATACAGTGTTTTCAAACTATTAATTAAGATATACGAGGAATAATCTAAATACTTTCCAAAGAAGAGGTTAACATTTTCCTTCTCCATGAAGACTACGAGAGCCAAGTAGACCTACCGCAGAAAGTTGTTCTGCCACGGATTTACTTGGTAAGTACCAGGGGAAGCCATCTGTCTTTGTATCACTATTGGCTTCCATGGCTCAGTGCCACTGAATTCTGTTAAAGCAGTTCCAGTGCTAGAGACAAATGAGCTACCCCTTTCAGTATTAAAAGGAAGTGACTTCGTGGAAGGTATCAGCTGATAAAACACATAAGGAAATGCCAGATACGTGAGCAAAATAGAGGTGGGAAACTTGAAGGAGGAAAAATGCCTGGATTTTGCCTTTCACCTCCAAATAAAGAATGATAGAGACTCTTAGCAAGCAGAGAGAGGGAAATGGGGGGTGGCTGGGCTTCCAGACTAACACATCAACTGTACGCTGTAATTTCACTTTTGCAACCCCACACTCTTGGCTCTGTGGCACCACCAGTAAAAATTCATTTCCAGGCAGCACACCTGAACAACCTGTGCTTTGCCTTAATTCACTTTCCCTGCTAAAAGCCAACGGGAGAGGTAGCCTCGCCTAAGGAGGATGGACGGCAGAGCGCTCCGTTGGAGGAGGCCATGCGCTAAATTAATCATGTTCCAACTAGAATTTGCAATTCTTTGAGAGATGTTCAAGATAGTATAAAAAATTCAGAGGTAGCGGGAAAGGAGAGGGGTTGTGAGGCAGAAAGCATCCAAGGGCACTTTAAATGTAAAAGATGCATCATAGTTTCCAGCGCATGAACAAGGTAGCCTGTCTTACCCAGAATGTGATAGATGGGGACGCTTCTCCTAGATATGCCATGTGATGGGAACTCCCCTCCCAGACCACACAAATTTCAGATTCAATGGTCATGCTGCTCTAGTTTTATTTCTGCTGCTGTGATTAAAATGCTGTGACCAAAAACCACTTTAGAGGAGAAAGGTTTATTTGGCTTACAATTCCAGGTCACGGTCTATCATTAAGGGAAGACAAGGCAGGAACTTAAAGCAGAAACCTGAAAGCAAGCCTGCTTGCTATTCCACAGACCATTACTTCTGACCAGGGAAATTATTTCAGCCAAAGAAGTGTGGCTGGCATTGTGGAAGATGCTGTATTTTCTGTCAGCCACGCAGCCTTAGGTTCAGCTAGTTTTCTTCCATACTTCATAATCACCAGCCTAGGGAATGGTACCACTCGCAGTGGGCTGAGCCCTTCCACCCCAACAACCTGTAGATTATCTCTACAGGTGTGCCCACATGCCAGTCTAATCTAGACAATTCCTCAACAGAGAGTCTCAGTTTTAGGTTCCATCAAGTTGACAGTTAAAGTACATGGGAGAGTTTGGAGAGCAGAAATAGAAGGGAGAAAAGATACAGCTATAAACTCAAAACCATAAAATGTTATTTTTAAAAAAAGCTAACCAGAACATATGAATATGAAATTCATCTATGATGAATTATTGGTCTGTCAGAGCTATTTGCAAGGATAGGGTCAGTCTGGTGATAAGCTCTCCTTAAGAGAACATAACCTGACTAAGTAAACCAGTCTTAGAAGTATTTAAGTCTTCTAGTTTACTACTCCTTCCATGCAAATGCTGTCACAAAACCACTTTATTTCCAAATTTCTAGAATTTTCACATTGTATCACAGACTTCACCACTGAATTTCTATATGAAAGTTTCCATTTGTGGCCTCTTCCATAACTTCATCTCATATTAATCCTGATCCATCATGAGTTGAGATCATGGGAGGGTTTTTAGAACAAACAGATCCTCTAGAGTTATTCCTGTATGTTAAAGGTTAAAAGTAAAGGAATGGGGTCAGCAGTGTAGCTCAGCAGGTAAAGGCATCTGCCACCAGTCTAATTACCTGAGTTCGATCCTTGAGACCCATATGGAAGAAGAATAGAACTGACTCCCACAAGTTGTCTTCTGACCTCCACATGGATTCTGTGGGATGGGTGAGCACATACCCACATGTATGCATATGCATGGATGAGCATGTGTGTGCACACACACATGTACACCCAGATAAAATAAGTGTAGTAATATTTTAATAAAAAATAAAAGTAAAAATAATAGGCAAATCAATACCCTATCTAAAATAATAAAATATTTACTATCAGTGAAATGCAACTTAGTGTAATATTCCATGATGCTTATAAATTTAAATGAAAACATTATCCTTATTTTCCCAAGATGCTTAGGTAATACTCTTCTGGGACAACACTGTCACACCTTGTCCTAAATCTCAACCACATCTCAGTGCAATTTTCTTTCTCGTGGGTTAGAAAGGGTTTTATTGCGATCATAGAAGAGACAAAAGGAAGTGGAACACTTAGTAAACTAGAAGGCCTCCTCCTTCAGTTGCAAGGGCAGGGTGAATGATTTTACAGTGACAGCATGAATAATCATGGAGGTGAAGCCTTCACAACAGCCCCTGGTGCGTCTTCTACCTCCCTCTGCCCAGGTGTTATAGAGCTTTCTCTTACTCTTGCTGCTGGCTTCTTTTTCTCTTCCCCTGCTGACTTCCAGGAGTTGGGTGTCTCCTTGCTGTGAGGAAACATTCTCCTCTCACCATCAGATGAAGGTGATGGGCCGACGGCTCTCTATACTGCTTCCTCAATGATGGCTTACTTTCTCACCTCTCTCCTGCCCGTGTTCCACCTGGAGAGATGAGGCTCCTTGACTGACTCGTGGGAAATGGGGCTTATACATGGAAGCCTCTCCTAACACAACTCACCTTAGAGGCACATAAGATCTGCCCCTCGAACTCGGCATCTCGAGGAGAGAGAGGAATGGAATTTTACGGGTCTTTGAGCTTCCATTTAGTTCCTCTACCACACCACACTCCTCAAACTTCACACAGGCTGTTGGCCATCTTCCTGGCATACTGTCCATTCCATAAATACCTTCCCAAGACCTAACCTGGGAAGACTTCAGTCCCAATGGAAACATTATTGCTCACAAAGAACACACAGTTTCTGTTCCCTGTACTTAACCCAATACTTCTACAGTTATGACAGCAACATACTTAGCCTACTCTGTAACATTCACCACCCCTTACTCAAATTGACTCCCATACCAGAAAAGCTACCGGGACTGCTGGTCTAATATGTTTTTGCCAATGCAAACACATATCAGGTATTTATCACATGGATGAATAAAGACAAGAATAGTATTTGATTCTTCTAGCTGCTACAATGTCTAGTGCGGTAGCTGAAGCCTAATTAGCATTCAATGAAATACTCGTGGATTAAATGCATGAATAAGAACCCAAGGATGTCAGCTGAATTCGGCAGTACCCTGAGTCAGCTGGGAAAAGTCGTCTTACCCTGGTTCCTGCCTGATTTCTCAGTGGGCTTCTTGCTCGTGACTTGGCTTGGATGAAAGCTAGGAAAAAAATAAGAGAGGAAAAAAAACAAAAGTAATAATATGCAATGGAAACCAAAGTGCCCTGTTCAAAAACAATATTCTTCTGTTTCTTTCAACTCCTACTGTTGAATGCCACCCCTCCCCAGAGGAAAGATCACTGGAAATACACTCATAAGGAAAAAATCACCACAGTTTTTTTAAAGTGTGCTATTTTAATTCTCGCTCATGAATATGTAGCTAATATTGACTAATGGGAACCCTAAAAGGAAGAAAGCTAAGACTTTTAGAGGCAAATCCATTGAAATTAAGGCCATCTGTAAGAAATTTATTTAATTTTTTTTTTCTGAGCCACATCCAGAACTCTAGCGGGCATGTTAAATAATGAAAGTGTAAACTATTGGGATTTGGTGCTGGTTAGTGTGTTGGCACAGTACATAGATCCCTGTGTGGTTAAAAAAAAAACTAAAACTAAAATTTTCTCTGCTTGCTTTATCTGGAAGCCTCCAAAATTAAAACAGTTTTCTTCGTGGAGTAATACATGCTAACCAAATTATACTCTAATATTTTCATCCAATGACTTGAAAGTCATGAAAATGCTTGTGTGGGGAGTCACCATGCAGAAAGAGAAAGAAAGCACCATATCAGGAGGCTTTTAAAAAGAGAGAGATAAAACAAAGAGTTCCAAGGATTGTCACAACCTGATCTGCATAAATAAAAGATAATGGCTTCAGTGTGCTGGCCAACCTTTCTGTGGAGTGATCGGTCTGTGGAGAGTCATGTCTGAGAGGCTGCAGGTCATTATGGCAGGCTAAAGCCTATTTCTCATTTATATTAAAGAACCTTGCCTGTTAAGGGCTTGATTTGAATCTCAGACATAAATGTGCATGGGGCTACACACCTTGTTAAGTCAATTGCTACATATGCATGCTCTCCCTAATACACACATAGATTTTATCATCCACAGACCCACCACTACTCCAACTGTTCTTTTCTTGACTTAGAAGGGATAGCATTTAGGTAGATCAGAAGTGCTCAAATGGACAGGAATAGAGCATACAATTTTTCTCATGACACAGATTTTTTTCTCATTTTTGCATAGAAGAAACAAATTTCCTTTCCCTTAAATGAGATTTGCTACATCAACAGAAGAAGGCTAAACTGTTTCCAACTCTGTTTTACATGTTTGATTTATCTGATTATCTGGTTTCAGGCAAGATGAATTGTTCCAAGTTAGCATTTGGAGACTTTGCAATGAAAATATTGATGTTTAAAAAATGCAATAAACAAAGTCCAATAACAACTAGGAAGTCAAGAAAAACTATAGCCCAGTGGACACAACCTTCCTAATACTACAACCCTTTAATACAGTTCCTCATGTTGTGGTGACTCCCGGCCATAAAATATTCTTGTTGCCACTTGGTAACTATAATTTTGCTACTATTATGAAAAATATTGTAAATATCTTATATGTGTTGATACCTGATATATAACCTCCAAAGGAATCATAACCCATAGGTTGAGAACCCCTTGAATTCTTTTTTTATTTAAATTAGAAACAAGGTTGCTTCACAAGGGACCTGTTCCTTGAATTCTTTTTTTAAATGACCTGTTATAATTTTTAAGTGCATTAATGTTTTGCTTACGTGTACGCCTGTGTGAGGGGGTCAGGTCTGCAACTGGAGTTAGAGACAGTTGTGAACTGCCATATGGGTGCTGGAAATTGAACCCAGATGCTCTAGAAGAATAACCAGTGCTCTTAACCCTTGAGCCATTTCTGTGACTCCACCCCTTGGATTTTTAAAGGAATTGTGAATTAAAACTGAATGGCTTCTTTGGCTAAGAATCTGAGATGGCTGCAGTTTTAATGAAAGCTCTACCTTCTATGCCTTTGGGTCAGAAAGCACAAGCATCACTTCATTTAGGCACACTTAAGCCCCACTAGATGGAAGGCTAAGGCAAACACAGGGACTTTGGAGCACATCCCTCACTTGGAACCCCAGGAAGATGCTGCTTTGTCTCATGTCTCACCCAGAACACCATAATACCAGCAGAATAGACATGGCAGTGTGGCTCATACAGGCAGCAAGCAAAAAATGGTGGTCCTAAGATTATTTATGCTACACACAGATCACATGACAAAAGCTAGACATATACAGGTATTCCTGATAGAGGAACTGGATGGCACCAAGGGTAGCAAACCAGAAGGTTTTCTGGAATTTTCCCTGTTTAAAGTGAAGGTGCCCCTGAGTCAGGACCTACAGGATGGATAGTCAAATGTTGTGGAATTATTTGTTTTACTAGGCAAAGGCGTGTTTTATTTGTTTAACTATGTAAAGATGTGTTTCTGTTTCACCTTGCCTGTCTAAAGCACCTGATTGGTCTAATAAAAAGCTGAATGGCCAAGAGCTAGGCAGAGGAGGGATAGGCGGGGCTGGTCGGCAAAGAGAAAAGGGGGGGTCAGCCAGCCAGGCAGGCAAACAAACACAGAGGAAGCAGGAAAGTGGGGCACACAGAATGAAAGAAAGGTAAAAAGCCCCAAGATAAAGAGAAACAGGTTAAATTAAGTTATAAGAGCTAATGGGACAATCATAAGATAAAGCGGAGCATTCAGAATTAATAATAAACCTCCGTGTCATGATTTAGGGCCTAGCAGCCCAAGAAAGCCTGCTGCAGTCAAAAGGAGGTAGGATGTGACAGGATCACATGCTGTGGCTGAGATGTACCTACAGCCCTAGGGCAGGAATCCCTGACAGCGTTATAAAAAAAATGGATCACCACAGCCATTTGAATCAGGGGCATCTCCAAAGTGGCCAGCTTACACGCCCAAGAAACCACTGCGGTGTCACGGGGTCTCTTTTAATGCCCAGAAGCCATCCTGCGAAAAGAAACAAGAGCCCAGACTTCAGGAGGTCCTGAACCACGCCCAGAAGTGACAGAAAGCCAATTAAAAGCTGTGTGACTCTGGAGAGGTGTGGATACTTTGCATGACCACGTTTAAGTCTTCTCATGGGGCAAAAACTCTGCCCTACTCAGCTGGATACCAACCAACAAAATTAAAAAAAAATAAGTAAATAAAAATCAGGAATCAACCTATAAAAAAAAAAGGACTCAGTTCACCAAGTTTTGTATTTGTGTTTAGTCTTCAATGGATCAGAAACTGGTCATCTTGAACTTGGACTAAAGGAACTAGAAGGGCATTAAATTTATCCTGAACCTAAGACTATAAAATAAAAACAAGAATAAGAATGCCATCTACTGGTGTGGAAAGTAGCAAGCCTCTAATAAATCCACAGTGAGCAAAAGAGAATGAAATGTTCCTGTTATTTTACTACGGAGATAACAGCTAGACAATGGAGTCTTAAATAACTGAAATAATAAAAGACATAGGCAAATGAACCCCCTCAGCTGGTAGATCTTTCACTGTATCTAAGTTCTGTGGCATTCCCTCCTGTGGGTCCCACTGTGACCCAGAAGACGATAATAAAGTGACATGAAGCGTTTCCTTCACTGGCTTGTTACATGTTTGAAAACAAACCAGTATTGAACTTTATATTTTAGTTGGTTTGTCCAGGCAGGTAGATGGAAAATCATGTATCTGATTGTCCTGTTTGTTTGCCTAACATTGACCTGATGCCGGGCTCTTCACACATTTTTACAGAAGACAGGCATGAGTGAGCTGTGTGTTCAGTGTTCAGTGCTGGCCTCTGGGCAAATGTTCATTCTATGGATTTCCTCACATGACTGGAGAGGCATTTGTCACAGTTTTAAATTGAAATATCATGTCTAATCACTTGTTATTTCAGAATCCTTTTCAAATCATGATATTTCATTAGATAATATTCATTAAAATGTCCACATCCCCAGGGCTTATTTGATTGAATATAAATATCTCATTGTTCCAGCACCATTTATAGAAAAGATAAAATTATCCTTTACCCAACTAAACAGCTTTGGCACATTTGCCAAATACTAATTGATGAAATGTGAGGGCAGATTCCTGGATCTTATATTTTCTTCCATAATTTGTTTATCTATTTACCTGTTCTTCACTCTTTGGATAGTGATAACTTTATACTAAGTCTTGAATCAGGTATTGCAAATCATCTAAACTGATTCTTTTTCTATTTTTATGCATTTTGCAGTCCCATATAAACTTTAAAATCATCTTGTAAATTTGTACACAAATGAGCTGTGGGAATCAATTGAGATTGTGTTGTGTTTCTAAGTTAATTAGTGGCCAATTCGCCAATAATGTTGAGGTTCTGCATGTGAGTATGGTATGTCTTTACAGTTATGTGGGTCTTTTAAATTTTTTAATGAAGAAATCATTTGTAAAATAAAACTTAAAATGACTCCACAGACCTAAATAGAAGGATTAAAATTATAAACATTCTGAAATAGAAAAAAAAAAGACTTCATGACCTTGGGTTTGGCAAAGGTTTCTTAAATATTATAAAAACATAACACAAACTATGCGACTAAATAATAAGTAGGACTTAATCAAAATCATAGAAGAGGAAGCAGAGATATTTTAAGAGCCAGAGGCCCAAAACGTGCTGCTAGGTAGCTAGTGACTCCTACACATGACAGAGAAGCTACATCCAGGAAATGTCAACAATATGGTTGCCTAAATAAGACCCGTATAATGACAACACCAGTGGGCATGTCAACATGGATGGGGATGTTTTCATAAGCTTCCACGCCTAGATGAAGAACTACAGGCAATCCATGCCAACTGAGAAAGGGAGAATCAGTTTTATCCCAGGACAATCCCCCTGGTAGGCTATCCAATCCCAAGTGATCAACTCTAAACACAAGTGTATATATAAGCAGCACAGACTCAGTAGGTTTTACATTTAAATACATTTCATGTGTGTATGTGTGTTTATGCATGTATTTTGTGTGCAGGCATGTGTATGATTTAACAATAATAGTTTTAAAAGAAGAGGTCATGAATTTAAGAACCAATGGGAGAACAGAGGACAAAGAGGGAGGTGGAAATAATGTAAGCATAGTGC